ATCGCGGCTACCACTGCTATTGCTACCACTACTTCTATTTTTTGCGATTGCGGTTCTCACTGCGACTACCACGGTTGCTACTACTTCCTTGCTTGTCACTACTACTGTTACTACCACTACGACTACTACTATTACTATTGCTACTACTACTACTACTTCTACTACTACTACTACTACTACTTCGACTACGACTACTATTATACGACTACGACTTCGACTACTACTACTACTACTACTATTACTACTACTACTACTACTACTACTACGACCACGAATTCGACGGCTACTACGCCTACTACGACTACTAGTTCTACCTGCTACTACTACTACTACTACTACTACTACTACTACTAGTGCGACTACTACTACTACTACTACTACTACTACTACTACTACTGGTATTGCTACTACTGCCACTACTACTACTACTACAACTACCACTACTTCTACTTCTATTACTACTACTTCTACTAGAATTACGTCTACTACGACTACTACTGCGCCTACTATCATTATTAGTAGTTTCGCTATTTCTACACACGCGGACTAAATCTATTACCTCCACTACTACTACGGCTACTACTACTACTACTACTACTACTACTAACACTACTACTGCTACTACTACTACTACTACGACTTCTACTACTACTATTACTACTATTACTACTACTGCTACTACTACTACTACTACCACTACTACTACTACTACTACTACTACTACTACTACTACTACTACTACTCTTTCTGCGACTACCACTATTCTTATTACTAGCGCTACCACTACCACTACCAGTACCATTACCACCACCACCACAACGATTAGTACAACTACTATGGCTACGATTACTACGACTACGACTACGGCTACTATCGTTACTACTACGATTATTACTACAACTACTACTACGACTACTACTACTACTACTACTACTACTAGTACGACCACGGCCAGTATTATGGTATTACTTCAAATACGACTACTACTACTACTACTACTACTACTATTACTACTACTACTACTACTGCTACTACTACTGTTCCTACTACTACTATTACCACCACCACCACCACTACGACCACTACTACGACTACGGCTACGACTACCAACCATTCTGTGAGTGCCATTGCTAGTACTTCTGCTCCTACACCTACTGGTGCTACCACTGTTAGTTCGACTACTACTACTTCTTCTACGACCAAAGCTACTACCACCACTCTTACGCCTACTATTACTACTATCATTACTACTGGTAGTAGTAGTACTACTACTACTACTACTACTACCACTACCACCACTACCACGACTACCACTTACTTGATTCGTGCTACTGCTAGTACTTCTACTCCTACACCTGCTGCTGCTACCACTGGTCTTACGGCTACTACTATTTGTAGTATTACTAGTACGGTTACCACTACTCGTACGCTTTTAACTACTACTACTACTACTACTATTACTACGACTACTACTACTATTACTACTACTACTACTACTACTACTACGGCTACTACTACCACTACTACTACAGCTACTACTACGTCTACTACTACTACCACTACGACTACTACTACTACTACTACTACTACTACTACTACTACCACCACCACCACTACTACTACTACTACTACTACTACTACTACTACTACTACTACTGCTGCTGCTGCTGCTGCTGCTGCTGCTGCTGCTGCTGCTGCTACTAATACTACTACTACTACTGATAATACTACTACGGCTTTGGCTATCACTACTTCTTCTGCGGCTACGACTACGATTTTGGCTGTGGCTACGATTGCGACTACCAGTTTTTTGTCCGTCGATGCGTTTCACGACCCTTGCTGTTAAAATTGCTACTCGCATTCTTACCTCGCACGTCATAGGCTAAATCTGGTATTGTTTAGGGCCCACGCGCTGGCATCATGACATTGGTTGATGACACAAGCCAATCGATGTGGGCGGGGCTGGGTTCCGACGTTGTAACCGCGGCCACGCCGCGAGCGACGTCATTCGAGAGCACGTTGCAGCTAGGATTGCGTGGATCTGCGTCATGTTCGCTGCGAGTCGAAAAGGCTCTTCTGAATTCCAGCGTTCGGGGAGATACCGCCTGGTGTTTGCGCTCTGGCATGCGCGGGCGGGGGAGCGGAATTCATCTGCAGCCTTCCAGCATCGAGTCGGTGCCAGGTCACGCTGAGCAGGAGCGGTGAGTTGATCTCAGGTCGGGCGTACGGGACGTGGTGTGAGACTCGATGGCGTGCCGCGCGGCAGTCCCACCCCGACCGCAATCGAGAAGGGTGCGTCTTGGCCCCGTTGACAAAGGATGGGGAAGTGGGACAAGGAGGGTAAACGTGGGCAACGTTGACAGGGGATGTAGGAGGGGGTCGAGGATTAGGAAAATGACCAGTGTAGAAGCGACCAACGATGTTGAAGACATCCGCCACGTTCCGTCTGCACAGGTCCCTACAAGATCAAATCGTCATTGCGGGCAGTGGCCCGTTAGAAGGCAAACATCTGAGAATCTTCCATCGTTCCAACACACCCTTTCCTGGGATCTTAACACCGCGAGTCAACGTGGTCATTGTGTCCTGACTGTCCTGAATTCAGCCGCAGCGCCACTCCTAGGATTTCAACCGCACGAATCCTTGGAAAATGTCGGACGACTGTGCGCATGTGCGCGGCGTTGTGGCGAGAGCCAGATTTTGACGAGGAACCGCTTCGGCTGCGCGAGTGTCTTGCGCACTTCTGCGGCGAATGCGCGCGGCTCTAAGGCGAGAGCCACGTCTTGACAGGGCCCGCCCTTCATCCGTGAAGCCGCAGCAACTTGCGAGCTTCACGGGCCACACTTGTTGGGGAAGTTTCGGGCGAAACGCCTGGTCCGCCCTGCCAACAGGTTCGGGAGTGCGACGGGGAGGGTTTCTTTGTCCTAGGGCTAGGGATCGAGGGGGAGGGGGGAGGCTTGGACTTCGTGGCGAGCTTTCGGCCACGTTCTTAGCACGTCGGGGCGGGGAGCTCCAGGGGAGGGGCAGGAAGAGGGGCGGGCGGACAGGCCGATCACAGAGCCGCAGACGGCAAACCGCTCACATCGAGATGTTACCTCGGGGGGAGCGGCCCTGGTGTACAGCAGCACCCAGGTGACGGAGGGGCGTTGGAGAACGCCCCGGCGTTTGCCCTGCCCCAGAGTCCCCGCGGATGCCGCCATTCTTCTTGTGCTCCGACGCTTGCTTCTTAGGGGGGACAAAAACACACAGGATATCGCATGACGATACGGCAGGCACGTAAAGAAAGCGAGCAAGTGCACGTGTGCGTGAGTGTGTGCGTGGGGAGGAGAAGTTGGATGAGCGAGCTAACTACGCGATTACAATTTGAATGGGATTGCAGGTCGACTTGGCAGTCGTTCTGGAGGAGCTTCGGAACGTGAACCGTGCCATGCCGCTGTGGCAGCCTTAGAATGCCCGCCAGCGCCAGAGCCAGCAGCACCATGGAGGGAGGAGGATGCGAGCGCGAGCAGCAGCATTGGCACCAGCACAAGCAGCACCCGCCACTGCTGGCAACAGGTTCACGAGCTTGAAAAACCAGGCGTTCTCGGACTAGGTTACAGGTGGCAATCTGGTGCTGCTTAGGCAGCCGACACCATAATCTTACACACACACCTTGTTTCAGCGAGGCCAGCGCACAGTGGACATGCCGCTTGCTGAGCTTTGGGGCCAGAGATGGGAGGAGGTGGCCACCCCGTCGGGCAAGGTTTATCTCGATCCAAGCGATCAGATTCGATATCGGCTCTGGCTGGCCCGCTTCGATTCGATTCCGATTTTCGGGCGACCCGATGCGGCTCGATGCTTGCATAGCGCTGTCATGCACCATGGCGCCGCCTTTTCGACTCGATCCCGGCTCCGAGCCGATGTGGTCCGATTCGATGTACGTTCCGATCCGGTTCGATTTCCCGATTCGGTGCTGGCTGTTCTTGTCGGGTGGCTCAGCGAGCATTCGGGTTGGCCGCGCGGCTTGGGAAACTCTGAGCCGTCGTCCGAGGATTGCCTCGGGCGGCCGGGTCTCCAACGGCTCCAGATATATGGAGTGGCGGGCCGCTTGAGGGCCACGCCGGGAGGGGGCATGCTCAGGCAGGGGACGCACTGATCCCCAGTCGTGCCCATGGACCGCCGCTTGGGGCCCGATGGCGCAGCCCGCCGACGAGTCTGCGGAGTTGCTCTCGGGAGCCCATCGCGGATTGATCGGGCGTGCATCGCCGAAGCCCACGTCCAGGGTGCCTCCCCGGAGCCAGCCAGCCCCTTTCTTTGACAGTCAACCCGCACAGTAAGAATGGGCCACCTTCCCAAGGGTACCCTTGCATCCTTCCCTCCTCGGCCAGTCCTTGGCCACTTGCGTTGGCCGCGCCCCCCTTCGAAAACCTTCGACATGGGCGTCCGAGGGCCTCGCATGCTTTTATCGGGCGTCCTTCTGATACGGATCCACTGTATCGGAGCGGTGCCCCGCAGCCGTGCGGTGAGGCTTTCGCGGCTTTGGAGGTCATCGCACGGCTCGGGCGCCGCACTGCTCTGAGAAGCCAGGCTCAGGAGGAGGAGGAGGAGGAGGAGGAGCAGGAGGAGGAGGAGAAGAGGAAGAGTAGTAGTAGTAGGAGGAGGAGGAGGAAGAGGAGGAAGAGGAGGAGGAGGAGGAGGTGGAGGAGGAGGAGGAGGAGGAGAAGGACAAGGGAGAAGCAGGAGGAGGACGAGGAGAAGGAGGAGGAGCCAAGGGGAAGGGCCGCGGGAAGGGCCGCGCCAGTGCTATGCGCCCGCGGCACACCCAGAGCACGGTTGTGTCGCGGCTGCGCGTTTGGGTGGCTCTCTTGAAGGCGGCGAATCGCACCCTGAAGGGGCGGGAGCGCCACTTCAGGGAGAGAACCGCCTACGCTTGGAAGGAAGTCCGTTGGGCCCACGGCCATGTTCAGAGGAGGAAGGAGAGGCGGGCCAAGGGGGTCCTCTCCTCTTCCGACGCTGACATGGAGTAGGCAGCTGCAGGGGGAGCTGTCAGTAGAGGTCAGCATCGGATGGCATCGGATAGTAGTATCGGATAAGAGCAGCTCCAACGGCTTCCTCTCTCTGTCTTCACATCCCACCCTGTCCTGGGACCAGCCTAGGCAGGGTTTGGGTTTGGGGCTTCGGCGTCGCCTAGTCTCCTTTTTCCCTCTCTCCTCCCTCCGTCTCGGCCTTCCTTCTTCTCCGTAAGCGTCGCCTTAGCCTCCCGTCTATAAAAGTTGTTGTCGCTCTCTGCTCCTAGAGTGGACTTGTGACACAGCAGCGCATCAATGCATCTGAGGAGGAGGAGGAGGAGGAGGAGGAGGAGGAGGAGGAGGAGGAGGAGGAGGAGGGGAGGAGGAGGCGGAGGAAGGAGGAGGAGGGGAGGTGGAGAGAGGAGGGGAGGAGGAGGAGGGAGGAGGAGGGGGAGGAGGAGGAGCGGGGACGGCCCGCCCCAGCCCCACCCAGGCTGCAGGAGGTCCGCGAGCTCCACGGGCAGGTCGGGCCCCGGCGCCCGCGCGGCGGGCGCCACCGCTCCAGCCTCGATCCTTCTCCTCCTCATGCTCCTGCTCCGCTCGCTGCTGCTTCTGCGGCTTCCTCCTCCCCATCCTCCTCCTCCCCCTCCTCCTTCCTCTCTTAGTATTATTACGAGTTCTGTTATTATCATTGTTGCTCTTATTTTTTCTCATTCTTACTCCACCTCCTCCTCCTTTCACTCCTCGTTCGCCCTCTTCCCCCCCTCCTGCCGTCCATTTTCTCGCAGTACCTCGCTGCTCCAGTATCCCATCCTTTCCGTCCGAGCCAATGGTTACTGGGCACATCTCCCCCTCAGCCTCCTCCTCCTCCTCATCCTGGGCGCCCAGGGCGCGCAAACGATTCACTCGTGCCCGCGCCCTGCGCCAGGCTATCTATCTGGTCTTCTGTTCCTGGACTGACCGGCCCTCTTCCCGAGTTCCAGGCTCTTGTCAAAGAGCGGGGTGGTCCGTGGTCATGTGTGACCGCTTCGGCCAGGTGCTGGCCGCGGCGTATGGCCCAGCGCCGCGAGATCTGAGGGATGCTGAAGAGTTCGAGGGATGCCGCCCAGGCACCTTGCCAGTCGTCGGGGGATGCTGAAGATGTTGCCGCGCGCGTGGTTTGCCAGGCGGCCATCCCGCCGTTTGATATGTATACCGGCTGTAGAGGCGCTGCGTCGACCCCGTAGGCGGGCCCAGGGGCTGGGATTGGAGCCTCCAAACCCAGGGCCCACATGTGGGGTCCTTTTCTGGGCGGCGTTCATGCCCAACGGTCTTTCGGCGCGCGAAACCAAGGCCCAGTGCAGCAAGGTGGATGCGCAAAGTGATTTCACCACTCTTTGGGAAACGCGCGGCGACGACGGTGCCGATGCATTCGCGAAGCGTGCTGCCGCCCTCCACGGAGTGGAGGAGAGAGCGAGTACCATCTCCGGCGGGGCCTGGTCGCGGCCTCCCGAGAGGTTGGGCGGTGGAGTGGGCGGTGGCACGCGCTGCTGGGGGGCGGGGGGGCCTGCCAGGACCACGCCGATCTCATGGAGCCGTGCGCGGCGGGCCGCGAGGATGCCGAGTCGGCGCCTGCGGCCGCGCGTGCGCCGACCCCGAAAAGCCGCCCTGCCCCAGCCTCTGCGGGTGCTGACGGGCGCCCGGCACAGGGTCCCGCAGAGGGCTTCGAGGCCTGTCGAGGTACAGGCCACAGCTGCCGACGGTCATCCCAATGCTGCACGCCCGGGCCTGTGCGCGGTCGGGCAAGTGCGATGGCAAGGCCACCAGCTTTTGCTGTGCCTGTGGTGCCTGCTTCAGCGTGGGGCAGCCCACTCGCGGCCTTTCTCGGCCGTGTCTCCGCGAGCGCGCGGTTTCGGGCCTGAGGGGCAGCTTCGGCTGATCAGGGAAGGCAACTGGCCCAGCTGGAAGGAAGGCCTGGTGGACCTGCGTTTGGAGGAGGCCCCTCAGGGTGTCCCGCAGGCTGTGTATGTGCGCATGGCCACTAGTTCTGGCCCGTCTGCTTCGGCTCCCGGCGCCTCGGCTCAGGACTCGGGGGTGCACGGGCTTCCTGGGGTGAGCGCCCCCATGGGGGGGGATGCCGTCCCGGGCCCCGAGGTGCCGGGGGCGTTTGGTCTGGAGGAGTGGCGACCTGCCCGCCCTCCGGAGCAGCAGGCGCGCGCGCCTCCTGCGAGAGCCCGCGGAGGGGGCCGGGCGAGCCCCGTTGGCGCCTTCGGGGGGGCCCTCGGCGCGGGCCTCAGGCGGCAGCCAGCGTGGCCCGACCGCTTCCGGCTTCGGGCCTCTTGCTCCTCCTCCTCCTCCTCCTCCTCCTCCTCCTCCTCCTCCTCCTCCTCCTCCTCCTCCTCCTCCTCCTCTTCCTTCTCCCTCCTCCTCCTCCTCCTCCTCCTCCTCCTCCTCTTTCTCCTCCTCCTCCTCCTCCTCGTCCTCCTCCTCCTCCTCCTCCTCGTCCTCCTCCTCTTTTCCCTCCTCCTCCTCCTCCGAATTGCCCTCCTCATGGGCCTACTTTGTCCACTGCTTCCCATCCTCGTGTCCCCTTCCTTGTTCCACTCGCTCTTCTCTCCACGTTTCCCCCAGCCTCCTCCTGCCCCACGCCGTCCCCATCCACCTCCTGCTCCTCCCCACGGTCCGTTTCCTCAACTCCCGACCTTCTCCCCTAACCTCCATACCCAGACATGCGACGTCCGGATTATTTCAGGACGGCGTCGTTTTCTGACGGTCCCGGTCCCCGGGCCGGTTTTTCCTATTGGGTCGTTTTTTGACGGTCCCGGGGGCCGGCGAGGGCTTCCCGGGGCCGAAAGTAGCCAAAAACCTCCGGTCCTGATCAGTTGTTGCGACACGATCATGTCTGGGTGCCCTCCCCTCGACGTCATTGTCCCCCTCCTCCCTCTGCTCCCTGGACTCCCCGTCCTCGAGTGAAACACGTGACTGCTCGGTCTGAAGGGGTGGCGAGCGACACGCCTCCATGATTGCGCGCCAGTCGAGGAGGAGGAGGAGGAGGACGAGGAGGAGGAGGAGGAGGAGGAGGAGGAGGAGGAGACGGAGACGGAGGATGAGACGGAGACGGAGACGGAGACGGAGACGGAGACGGAGACGGGGACGGACAGGAGAGGAGAGGAGGAAGGAGGAGGGAGAGAGGGAGGAGACGGAGGAAGAGGGAGAGAGGACGGAGGATGGAGGCAGAGGGGGGAGGTTTGGCAGATTATGTGTGGGTGTGGAGGGGAGGGCGTGGTGGACGGCTTGAGACCTTCTGGAGGACCTCCCTGGACTAGCTTCGGGGCCTCCCTCCCTGGGGCCCCCCTGCGGCAACCTCCAGGTGGCTTTCCGGGCGCAGCTCTTGGCTTCCGGCGGCCGAGGCCAGGTAGCGCCCCCGACCAAGGGAGGAAGCGCCGCTCCGACCCCCATGGGTGGCGTCTTTGTATGTGTCCATATACAACAAATACATATATACCTAGACCTATATATATATGTGTATATATATATATATGAATATATGTATAAATACATATATATATATATATATATACACATATTATGTTCAACAAAGAAGTAGAACAAACAAAGCAAAACAAAACAAACAACTAGCGTGGGCGTCTACAAGACAGCCCTGCTCATCTCGATCCCGTCCGCAGAGGCGCGCTCACCAGGGGGGGGCCTTCGCCTGCCGCGGCGCGCTCGCGGCCAGGAGCGCTTGCTCAGCGTGTCGCGCCTCGGCGCGAGCTGCTCACCAGCCTCCGCCGCGCGGAGCGCAGCGACACGCCATCCGCTTGCAGGGCACCGCTTGCCGCCGTTTGACCGCCACCGCGACTCGGCAGGCAAAAGGCCCCGACCGCATCAAGAGGGTGGCTCTGCTGCCATCTGCCGGGGCACCTCCGCGGACGATTTGTGTTAAGTCGGCCCTGCCCCCCTACATGGGGATTTTCGACGAAAAATGAAAAATACCCCAAAAATAATCCAAAAATGATCCCAAAATAGTTTGGGAACTATTTTTGGGGTATTGTTTGACCTCTTTGGTTTTTTTTTTGTTGTTGTTTTTTTTTAAACAAATTTCGTCGACAATCCCCCTGTAGGCGGACACGCCCGACATAGACGTGTGTGCACCGCACCCCGCCGGGGACTCTCCCGAGGCGCCGCCGATGCTCGACGCAGGAATGGCGCGCGGTGCACAGTCCTTCGGCCCCCCGAGAGCCGAACCACCATGCACAGTACCGCGCTGGAGCGGGGCCGGACGGGAGTCCTAAACATGGCACGGTGCATGAGCGCCGCTCTCTGGGGAGACGCTGTCGAGGGCTTGTTCAGCGCCGGCAAGACGATCTGCCCGCCCTTCTCGGCCCACACTCGCTCGAGAATCCCCCGACGCCATGGATGTTTAGTCACGTCGATCCCCACCTCCTCCTCTTCCTCCTTCTCCTCCTCTTCCTCCTCCTCCTCCTCCTCCTCCTCCTCCTCCTCCTCCTCCGCCCGCCTCTTCCTGTCTCCACCCATTCCCCGGGTCTGGTTTTTCCATCTGGGTCGTTCCTTGACGGCCCCAGGGCCGCAGTCAGAGGGCCCCCCCCTGCGGAGGCCGAAGACAGCGAGGCACCTCCCATCGATATTCTTGCACGAGTCGACTCGAGGGGATGCGGGCGCAGTGCTACTGGGGCGATGGCCCCTGCCGGGGGGGGGGGGCAAGTCGGCGGCGAGCGAGGGGAGACATGAGAAGGAGTAGACCTTCTCAGCAGGAGGCGGGGCTTCTCAGAAGGTCTCGCGGAAAGGCTCAGAACACTTCTCAGGAGGCCGGTGGGCTTCCGAGCCTTCTGAGAAGGCCCACCCCCTCTCACTTCCATGAGATCCGACGTGGCAAAAAATACAACATCGCAGCAAAATCACGCCTGGAGTCCCGGACCCCATCGTTCTGCGTTATTTTTCGAGCCGGTTCGATCTGCGAGGGTCCCGCGGGGCCCGACATTGAGCGAAAACCCCCAGCGTGAAAGCATTGCAGCGCCAGGATCGCAGGAGTCCCCCCTCCCGGGGCGCGCCGCCCAGCCTGGCAGGGCTCCCCGGCGCGCGCGCCCGCCCCGCCGAAGGGGCGGGCTCCCCCGAGAGGTCGCCGCCTGGAGCAGCGCCGCCCCCGTGCGCGAGGCGCGGAGCCCGCTCTCGCCCCAGGTCTCGCCCCCCCCCGCCGCCCGCGCGCCCCCTCCCCGGGGCGGCAGCCTGCCGCCCGCGCCGCGCAGCCGCGCCGCGCCCCGTGCGAGCTGGAGGAGGAGGAGGGGGAGGAGGAGGGAGGAGGAGGAGGGGGGGGGAGGGGGAGGAGGAGGAGGGGAGGGGGAGGGGGATGGGAGGAGGGGGGGGAGGAGAGACAGGAGAGGAGGAGGAGGAGGAGGAGGAGGAGGGGAGGAGGAGGAGGAGGAGGAGGAGGAGGGGAAGGGAGGAGGGAGGAGGAGGACGAGGAGGAGGAGGAGCAGGAGGAGCAGGAGGAGGAGGAGGGAGGAGGACGGTGAGGATCCGGGCCGATTGCCCGCCCTGCTCCCCTGCTCTCTCCGCTCGCGCGCCCGCCGCCGGCTCGAGAGAGAGAGAGAGGGAGCGCGATGCTCTCTCCCTCCGTGTACTGAACTGCGTGCACGACATGCAGGCCGCCGCCCGCCTGCCACGGGCGCAGAGGGAACAGCTCGGGGAGGAAGGACAGCCAGCGGCATCCACGGCCCGCGGCCGCTGGGGAGCTCGTCGGCGCGCTGCTGCCCCGAGGCGCACGCCGGATGGCCCTCCGGCCAGAGACGGGGCAGCAGCGCGCCGACGGCCCAGCAACGGCGCCGTGTCATTGGTACCCTTACCTCCCTCCCGAGAGGAGGGCAGCGCGACAGCCCGCCTCCCTGGCCTCCTCCCCCCCCCCCTGCCCTGCCCCCTCGTCCGCGCTTGCGGCGGAGGGCGCAGCACGGCTGCTCGGACAGCCGACGGACGGGATTTTTTTTCGAGATTCGGGCCCAGAGGCCCCGAGACCCCCTCCCTCTGACACGGCCCTGCAGACCAGCACTCGCAGGAGGGGTAATTACCTGCGGGAAGTGCTGCGCGGCCCAGCCTGGTGGCTTCGGCTGTCGTGGGTGGGCCGTAGCTGTATCTTTAGGTCGGGCATGTCCCCCTACAGGAGGACTCTGGCCGAAAATTCGAGATTTATTCAAAACTACGAGAAACAAATGTTCGAAAATAGTCCAAACGTTGTCCACATATGTTTTTGTTCGCTGTTTTTGAACAGTCCTCCTGTAGAGGGGCGTGCCCGATTTAACTTTTATCCGGACCTGTTCCTCCGAAAAGGCAGTCGAAGGGGCAGCCAGCCCCTTCCGCGTATAGGCCAGCCTCTCGCCCCGGATCCTCCTTGGGCGCGCCCCAGCGCAGGGGCCGACGACGGACCTCCCTGGGGCGCCGAGCTCGAGCCCACGACGCCCAGGCGGAGCGCCGGACGCGTTGAGATTCCTTCAGTGCGGGGCCTGCAGGCTTTCCGACCCCGTGCCCCGGGGCCCTCTCCTCCTCCTCCTCCTCCTCCTCCTCCTCCTCGTCCTCCTCCTCCTCCTCCTCCTCCTCCTCCTCCTCCTCCTCCTCCTCCTCCTCCTCCTCCTCCTTCCTCCTCCTCCTCCTCCTCCTCCTCCTCCTCCTCCTCCTCCTCCTCAGTGCGGGGCCCCCAGGCCTTTCTGGGCCCAGGAAACGGCAGGGCCGTTTTTGTCACCGTTTCCCAAATGTCCCTGGAAAATGGAAGCGGCAACAAAAACGGCCACCGGAAACGGCGAACAAAACGGCTCCAGGATTGGAACCGGAGCCGGAAGCGGTCAAAAAACGGCGACGGAACCGATAAAAAAACGGCGTCGGAACCGGCAACAAAAACGGCAAAACGGACCCGGTAAAAAAACGGCGTGTCGTTTCCAGGGTCCACTAAGCCCCAGGCCTCCCGACCCCTTGCCCCAGGGCCAGTTCCTCATCACGTTCCCGGGGCCCGGCGAGGGCCCTCAGAGGCCGAGACACACTCCGACCCGCTCGTGAGCTGCGCGGGGGCCTGCAGAAGCGGCCACGGCCCACGGTTTCTGGGCCAGCCCTGAGTCGGGCACGTCCCTCTGAAGGAGGAAAGTTCAAAAATAGTCCAGAAGTAGTCTGGGGACGACTTTATGACTATTTTCGCACATGGTTTTAGCATTTTCGGAATATTTTTTCCATCCGAAGTCCTCCTGTAGGGGGACATGCCCGACCGAAGGCCAGCCCCGGCTCGGCCCCAACCAGGCCGCTCCCTGGAGCAGCCTGCTGGGAGGGCTGGCCTTGCTGCTGGCCGCGCTGGGCCTGGGGCGGGCCCGGGGCGTGCAGTTGGTGGACGCGGAGCTGCTGGGGGGCGACTGGGAGCTCGAAGGAGCCGCCGACGACGACGACGACGACGACAACGACGACGCCCACGCCGCTGCCGCCGCCGCCGCCGCCGACGACGACGATGACGCCGACGACGCCGCTGCCGCCGCCGCCGACGACGACGACGATGATGACGACGACGACGCCGACTTCGACGCCGCCAGGGCCGCCGCCGCTGCCGACGACGGCGATGGATGAGCTGGCTGCTCACAGTGGGTGATCTGTGGATCCGACTACACGTAAGAGTGACCTCGCGCTGGAGTGACGTCTGGTGCGGGCCCAATGGGGTCCCCCGATCGCCGAACGTGAGGCGGTAGTAGCTTCTTGCGCGCACCAGAGGTCACTCTTACCCAGTGGTGGGTTGTATCCGGCACAGCCTACCTGATAGGTTGCTGGGGGGCGCGTAATGGGCGAGGGGGGGGGGGGCAGCGAGGGCTGCAGAAGAGGAGCTCTGCATGGCCTCTTAAAGGGGCCCTTCAGGGCCCCAGAGGGGGCCTTCGGGGTCCGAGAGGGGCACCTCTCTTCCATCCCATATTATCGCCCCCCATTCACTCGCGCCCAACGTTGGTTGCGAACGCCCCAAGTGGCTTCTGGGGTACTAGATCCGTGCGCTAATGGGTCGGAGCCCACTAAGCTTGGATCTTGGCCCCCCCTGAGGTGAACGTGTTCTTATGCGGCGTTTCGATGTTGGGCGCAAAGGGGGGTATGGCTACAGACCTCTGCCTAGCGCGATTGTTTATTGCGTATACCTTGAGGTGGAAGAACATTGGGGAGTCCTATGGAGGGATCCCTCACGGGGAGTCCTAAGGGGAATCCTGTGTGGAAGGTTTATGCGGGAATATTTTTATGTGTGAGCCCGATCGGGGAAATCTAATGAGGGATTCATGTGGGCGCTTCTCGCTAGGGAATCCCATTCCGACTCCCATGAGGAAATCCTGGGGGGGAGATTTTTCGGGGGATCTCGGGAATTCCAAACTCAATTAGATTCCATTTGGAATCCGTTTGGAATCTTCGAGATCTGCAAACCCAGAGGATCCCACAACAACTGGCTACCTCCTGGCGTATGCCTTTTGTCCCAACCATCCTGTGGTGTTGGGCCCTCATTTTGAAGAAACAGCACACCGCGTCCCTCCCTCCCGCCTCCTCCTACTCCCGTTCCTCCCTCCTCCCATCTCTGCCTCTGCCCTCCGCCAGTCAGCCATTTCGACACGCCCCTCACACGTTTCGTGGCCCCGTAGGGAGCTCCACCGAAGGCCCCAGTGGCAGGGTCCGCATGCAGTTCCACCTCCATTGCGGCTTTCCCCTCACACGTTTCGTGGCCCCACAGTGGTCCACCGATGGCCCCAGTGGCAGGGTCCGCATGCAGCTCCACCTCCATTTCGGCGCATTCTTCACACGTTTCGTGGCCCCATAGGGTGCTCCGCCGAAGGCCCCAGTGGCAGGGTTCGCCTGCAGTTCCACCTCCATGTCGGCTTCTTCTCACACGTTCCGCGGCCCCACGAGGTGCTCCACCGAAGGCCCCAGTGGCAGCGCCCGCACGCGGTTCCCAAAGGACGAACGGGCAGTCACCATTGAACAGTGGGAAACCGACCCCAGCCCCCACAGCACCGGATTGTGTATGGCAACGTTTTACCATGGTGGCGAGTGTGCGTAGGTGCAGGCGCCCTGTGAGCGAGGCCCTCCCCAGCTGCCGCAGGGAAAGGGGGGCGCGCACCGCGCGCGCGGTCTACTTGGTCCCAAGGTCCTCATGTGGGGGGCCCGGGGGGCGGTTTTCATGCGTTCAAGCATGGGAATCGTGACAGGTCTGTGCCGTGTTCTGTTGAGCCCATTCGTACGCCGTCGGGGCAGAATGGGGGACGCCAGCGGGCCCCTGGGCGGCCTCTGGGGTCTTCCTGGACGCCTCTCATCAGCTTCTTGGGGCCTCGGGGGATGTCCTGGACCATCTTAGGCCACCTTGAGGATTATCTCAAGGGCACATGGGAGTTATGCCAGGGCCTGTGGCCCACTGATCCGCGTTCTTGGGCCAGTCTTGGAGCCCCCTCTGGGGCGTTCCCGGGGCGGCCTTCGGGCCGTCGGGAGCCCCTCTGAAACGCATGTGGGCGCCACCTGGGGCCAGCTCTGCCGATTTGGAGCCGTATGCCAGCCTCAGTATCCTGTGTGATTTACCGCATGGTCTTCCCAAAACAGATTGTACGTTAAGGTTCTCTCTCTCTCTCTCTCCCTTTATCTTTCTCTCTCTATCTATATATATGTATATGTATATATATATATATATACATATACACACATACATATGTTGTTCCCAGGGCGAGGGTTCGGGTTGTTTTCCCCAGGGCCGGAATCGGTTGCCCATGGTCATCCCCGTGCCCCGTCGTATCTTCCACGTTGTCTTCCGCATGGTCTCCCGTGTGATATCCCGTGCGGTCTCCCCCATGGTGTCTGCCGGAGGTCGCTGGAGATCGCCGAAGCCGTGGAAGACGGATACACGTAGTAGACAGATGTCCACGGCGAACGCGTGAGTTTCTTGGAGGCTGCTGTGGGAGGCGTCGTCCCTCGCACGGAGGCCGATCAAGACATCGGCTTTGAGCCGACAGCGGTCAGGCAACGGGCCGCCGATTGTAGGCGGTGGTGTCTTGATCGCTCGGTTCAGCTGCCCGCTCGGGTCGCTCCTTGCGGCTGCCGGCCTGGACCCCTGGTCCAACTCATCCTCCGCAACTTCATGCACATCCATCTCCCAATCCTCCTCACCATTCCTCGCCCCGTCACCGTACTCCTTTATCCTCCTCTTCCTCCGATTGTTTCTCATTGTCCACCGCATGTCCCGCCCGCCCATCTCCATGCATCTCATCGGCCCCCACCCGCAATGTTTGGCGCCTGGCGTATTCCAACCAGCCCATCCAGAAACGATGCCCAGGCGTGTTGCCTTGACCAGGGCAATGTAGAAGCATGCAGTGGAACACGTTTGGGATCAGACTGACCAGACCCAGGACGAAGATGAGAACGAGAGGAGGACGACGGCAAGGACGAGGAGGAGGAGGAGAACGAAAAGGATGAGGAGCGGAAGGACGACGACGAGGAGGAGGAGGAGGAGGAGGAATAGGAGGGCGCGGAGGGCGAGAAGGATGAAGACGAGGAGGAGGATGAGGAGGAGGACGACGACGACTTTGGCAGCCGCCGTGGGGTCATATGGAGGCCCTTCCAGGGTCCTCTGGGGGCTCATCCGCGGCCCTCTTAGGGCTATGTTGGAGGCTTTGTGGGCCCCGGAAACGGCAGGGCCGTTTTTTTCACCGTTTCCGAAAAAATGTCTTTTGAAAATGGAAACAGCAAAAAAACAGCGACCGGAAACGGCAAAAAAACGGCTCCAGGATCGGAACCGGAGCCGGAACTGGTCAAACAACGGCAACGGAACCGGTAAAAAAACGGCGTCGGAACCAGCAAAAGAACGGCAAGACGGAACCGGTAAAGAAACGGCCCTGTCGTTTCCAGGGCCCTTTAAGGTTGGAGGGTCTTTGGGTCCTCTTGGGGCTCTTTTAGTAGGTCTTGGGTCTCTCTTAGAGCCCTCTTGGGGATCTTTGCTGGCCTCCTGGGGCCATCTCGGAGGGCGTCGATCAAAAGAGGGGGGGTGATCGTCGACTTCTCCCCTCCCCCCCCTTCTGGGCCGATCAGAACCGCTTCTTGGGCGTCTTGGGACCGTCTTGGGTGCCTCTTGAGTTTTTCTTGGGCCTCTTGGCCCATCTTGGGGCCGTCTTGAGGCCTCAAAGCAGCATCGGAAGTTAAACGCCCAGAAGGCACATGTCCTTTGTCTTCTTGAGGCGTCTGAGGGTAATTAGCTCTTGGGCAAGTCCAGAGGGGGCTCCGAGAGATCTTGGAGCTTTTCTGTAGTCCCTTCGGGCCTCTTGGGTGCATGCCAAAGGCCACATCGAAACATTTCCCGCTATCTTCAGCAATATTGGGGGCCATCTTAGAGCATCTGGGGCCTTCTTGGAGCCATCTTGAGCCATCTTCGGCGCTCTGACCACTCGCGACCCCCCAAAAACCCTCAGCTAGGGGTGGGAGGGTATTCCTCCAAGAGGGAAGAGAGGCTTTGGAAAAGGAAGGACGGATCTGGCATGAGACACTCGTGTACCACTCTGAGCCCATTTTGATGGCGACTATCTCGTTTCTCCCTCCCCCTGTATTCGACTTGCTCTTGATCTTATCATTTAGATCGCCCTGGGACAAGACTCTTGATGGGGCTTCCGAGAGTTTCACTTACATTCTTCTCTGGTCTGTTACGAAGGGAACCCTATTGCAATTCGCAGCGAAAGAGATTAGATGTGGAATCTTCCGCTGGGAGGAATCCTCTTGCAATCCGCTACAAAAGGGATGCATGTGCGGTGAATTATCAAGATGATCGAGGGCCCAGGGGGGTGCCAGCCACAAAAGCACAAACACGAACATACAAAGAACAGGTAGGACACAACAGAAAACAGCTCACACTCTTCAAAATACAGCAAAGTACAACCATAATGACATTTCATCCACTTTTAATCTCATTCTAATGTGTGGAATCGTAGGGGGTATCAGCTGTTTTTTTTTCCTGTTGCTTCGTTGATGTCATTTTGGCTGGCGTCCCCCTGGGCCCTCTGCCATCCTGTGCGTCGGCGATCCTTTTGTGGCGGGTTGCAAAAGAATTCCTTGTAGTAGATGGTTACGCGAGGGTTCATTTTGTGGCGGATTACACCAGGATTCTTTCTGTGGCGGGTTACAAAAGAACTTCTTGTGAGGAGCGAGGAGAATTACACTGGGAGTCCTTCTGCGACGGACGCAATTTATTGCGATTGTATTATGATGGTTCAAAGTTCGGTGGTCCGGGCGCCTCATTGTGAACCGCCCGGACAACCCCAACAATAACAACACATATAAATATTTTCCTTTTTCTTCAGGGCCGCAAGCCCTCGTGGGGCGGCGGCAGGCGCTCGTAAGCATGAAAGATGCACGCAGTCGATGGGAATGTGCAAGCGAGAAAACACCTGCGCGTGTGCACAGAGGATCACAGAGGAGGTCCTTTCGACGGGTTACAACGAAATCTGGGATTACACAAGGATGCCTTGTGGCGGAGCACAGGAGGATTTATTATGTGGCTGATTGCAACAGTATCGCTTTTTTTTGGGCGGATTAAACATGTAATCCTTCTGTGGGGGTTTCTGAGAAATGGGGGGCCCAGGCAATACCAGCCAACAGAAACCATCAAGGCAAGAAAACAGAAACAAAACCAAAAAACAGTTGATACCCGCGACGACTCCGCAGTTCTTGCAATTTGAGTACAATCAAGATCCATTGTGTCCGGCACAGAAGGATTCCCTTTGCAAGCCTCCACAACCGGAGTTTTTTCTGTGATCCGCCACAGAAGGTACCTTTTGAAATTATTCTGCAAAGGCTTTTTCAAATCCGCCGCACAAGCAATCCCCTGGCAACCATCTACACAGATGAATCCGCCACAAGGGCTCCTGTTGTGGCGGACGCACGAGATGACCGACGGCCCTGGGAGGGGGGCAGCCAACCAGCAACAAAGTAACAACAATAACATAACAAAGGCAAGACAAACAACAAAAACCTGACACGCTCCACGATTCCTAAATTGCAATCATTCTGCAAGTTGGTTCGATTGCATTCCGATTGTAACCAGCGGAACTGCAAAGAGTATCAGCAATGGTTTGTTGATTTTGTTGTTGTTTCTGTTGGCTAGCACCTCTTTGGGCCCTCGGACATTTTGTGGTTTCTTCACACAAGGCAGCCTATTGTGGCGTATGACGCAAGGATTTGTTGTGGCTGATTTCAAAGCGGTTCCTTTTGTTGCGGATTACAACGGAACCTCTCGTCTGCGGACGCAGCTGGTCTTGATTGTGTTTGGGTGGAAGATTTCAGGAATCGTAGAGCGCATTAGTTGTTTCTTGATGTTGTCTGCGTTTGTATTGTTTGTGTTGCTTTCCGTGTTTTTGTGCTTGGCACCCCCCTGCGCCCTCGGTCGCGTTGTTCGTCCGCCACCAGAGGAATCTTGTTGCGGCGCATTACACAAGGCTTTGTGTTTGCAAAGGATTTCAAGAGCGGCGGGCCCCCAAAAGGATTCATTTTGTGTGAAGGATTCCAAGAGCACTCCTCATGTGGAGGGTTACAAAGGGATCTCTTCATTTGTGCATACATGTGGTCTTGATTCCATCTGGATTAGACATTGAGGAATATCGGGGGGTGTAGAGAGTACCAGCTGCTTTTTGATGTGTTGTTGTTTTTTTCGGTTGTTTGTTTCTTTTGATCTTTTGGCTGCCATCCCCTGTGGGCCCTCGGGTATCTGGAGCATCCGCCACAAAAGAAATCTTCTTGTGGCGGGTTACAGGAGGATGTTTTTGTCTGCTGCCAAGGATTGTATAAGGATTCCTTCGGTGGCGGATTACACGAGAATTTCTTCATGTGGCGAATTGCAATTACGATCCCTTTCTGTGGCGGACGAGAAAAGCAATTATGTGAAAATCTCGACACCTCATCCGCGAGCCTTGTTCCAGGGCGTTCCGCATGGTAAGAACAAGAGCAAGTCGAATAGAGGAGGAGGCAGAGAACGAAGTAGTCGCCATCAAACGGGGCCAAGCGAGTGGGTTAGAGAGGAGGGGGGAGAAAGAGAGAGCGAGAGAATCGTGATTTGAATGGCAAAGACAGTGGTCCACGGGAGCCCCACGGCAAGTGAATAGTTGGCGGGGTTTCATCGCCGACTCCTTTTGCTCCCCTGGCCCCGCCTCCGCTGTGGAAGGCGACCTGGCGTTGCAGACGGAGTCTGGAGTCGGCTGCTACGTCCGGCTCGAAGATCAGCAGTGCGTCGTCAGGGCGCTGGGCGAGAAGTACCGGAGGTGGACCGCTGTGCAGAAGGCCCTTTGCCACAGCATGCAATGCGCAGGTGCAGGAGGTTGATGAGCAGGCGGCGGCGGCGGACGGTGGCAGCGTCAGGTCGACGTGTTCCAGTTGCGACCTCTCGGGGGCCGTCAGGGGCCCAGGATGATTGAGATGCTAAGCCTCCTTGGGGCCAGGGGACCGATGAAAAGGATCCGGGGGCAATAAGGGATGGCGTTATTCACCGAGCGGGTTCAACTACTCGCGAAGTGCCTTCCCGCAAACGTAAACGCACGTCCGCCGCGATGCAACGGATCGTACGCAAAAGTCCCTCACGGTGGTTCAGGGCCGTTCGCGAGTAGTTACTAGGCGAGTAGTGGAGCGTGCTTATCTAGTTAGGATGCTTGCCTTTTCGAGCGCAACACTGCGAGCAAGACCCCCGCATCAGCAGCGCGTGGCTGTAGCGGCCTAGCGGTGCTCGGGAGTCCGCCGTGGCAGCAGTGGCAGCACCAGGGCTCTTAAAAATCCCAAGCCTCCAAAATGAGGTCCGAGTAGATGTCGGCGGCGAGCCCTGAGGAGAAGGAGAAAGCCTTCTCAGAAGGCTCGGAAGTCCCCCAGCCTTCTGAGAATGTGTCTAAGCCTCCCCTGAAGACGCAGAAACATTCTCAGAAGGCGTGAGGGCGTCTGAGAAGTCCCGCCGCCTTCAGAAAGGGAATTCTCCTTCTCACTTCCCCCCCCCGCTCGCCGCCGAAGATGGGGTCGGGGGATCGCGCCGCTTCGCCGATACATCGCCGATGCATTGGCTACGTCGGTCTGAGACAATCGGGCCTCGCATCAAGCTGGATGTATGGAGGCCTCCCATTTGTGATGCCTTCCTCTGATGTGTCCCTTGAGGGGGTAGGCCTCTCCTTCTGGCCACGGGCCCTCGCCGAGCGGGTGCGCAGCACGAGGAGGGCGCGAACCGGGAGGAGGCAGGGGAGCTGGCCTGTGCTACTGCAGCCTTGGTGTCTAGAGCTCCGGCCCACTGTCTTCGTGGTGGTCGTGGTCGTGCCCTCCCCCTGCCCAGAGCCCCCACGTCCGCTCGCGAGGCCCAGAGGGCCCAGGGGCTCCAGCAGACAGGCGCGAGAGGACAGCCGATCGGCTGGATCCGATGTCGATTTCGGCCAGGCCCGATCTGATCCTGTTTCGGCATTCCGAACGACCCGATGCGTCCCGATGCTTGCACGGCGCTGCTGCGTATCGCGGCGCACCCGAGTCGGTTCGATCTCGGGCATCGAAGAAGAACAATTTGCATCGGCACCACCTTCCCGAGCTCCGCGACATGAACAAACGATATGCAGCCGTGACCCTGAAACGAGGACCACTTTGGGCTCAGGATTGGGCCTCTGGTTTTCGGCCGTTCCTCAGATCCAGGTCGGAGACCTGTTCGCGGCCGAGGCTCGCCGTGGCCAGAAGAGGCCGTTCGTTCCTCATCCAGCATTCTCCCTGGCAGCACGAGGGCTGCAACCTGGTCCTGCAGGTGTTGTTCCTCTGTGGCAGTGCCCATTCTGGCCGCACCCGCTGCTTGCTCCCTCCTCCTCCTCCTCCTCCTCCTTCTCCTCCTCCTCCTCCTTCTTCTCCTCCTCCCCCTCTTCCTCCTCCTCCTCCTCCTCCTCCACCTCCTCCTCCTCCTCTTCCTCCTCCATTTCCCGTTCCTCCTCCTCCTCCTCCTCCTCCTCCTCCTCCTCCTCCTCCTCCTCCCTTCCCCCCTGCAGGGCAGGGACTCGCTGGCGGCGTGCCAGGGCCTTGCGCACAGCCTCGACCACATCTGCCAGCTGGAGCCCGGCACGGTGCAGGCTGCGCCTACCCCAGAGGTGGAGGAGGAGGCGGAGGAGGAGGAGGAGGAGGAGGAGGAGGAGGAGGAGGGGAGGAGGAGGAGGAGGAGGAGGAAGGAGGAGGAGGAGGAGAGGGGAAGGAGGAGAAGGAGGAGGAGGAGGAGGAGGAGGATGGGGAGGGGGAGGAGTAGGAGGGAGGACAGAGCGAGGAGGAGCAAGAGGATGAGGAGGAGGAGGAGGAGGAGGAAGGCGAGGCTCGAGGAGGAGGAGGTCGAGGCTCGAAGCTCCAGGATCGAGGTGCGCGCGAGCATTCCGAACTCCTCTGGGGGGCCTCCCTGGGGCGCCCACCCTCGCCGCGGCCAGGGCTCGCCTCGGCCACGCCTGCGCGCCAAAGCCGGAGTCCGGCGCGGTGCAGGCTGCGCCGGCTCGCCTCCTTCCGGAGCAGGAAAGACAGCGTGCGCAGGAGTTTCCTCGGAGCTCAGGGGAGCGAGGCATGACATCAAAGCATCAAAGCTCGGAGGTCCGCGTGCGCAGGAGTTTTCTCGGAGCTCAGGGGAAGGAGGCGTGGCACAAGCATCAACGCTCGGGGGTCCGCGCCGATGTCCCGGAGCCGTGCTGGACCTCCCCGGCGGCGCCTGCGGCGCCGCTCTTGGCGCGCCCCGCGCGCCAGGGAGGGCGGTCCAGCGCCGATGCGAGGAATCCGCGCGGACCTCCGAGGGTTCATGTTTGTGTCAATGTGTCTGTTCCCCTACCCTCGCTGCGCGAAGCGTCAGCGTGACCCCAACATGCTACTGAGATTGTGCGTGCGTCGCCCCCGCAGGGGGCGCCGCGCGCACCGAGGAGTCTTGCAGTGGCGGGCGCTTGCTGGCCACACCGCTCGGGAAACGTTCTACTACAAGATGGGTTGCGATCGTTTCGGGTCGGTCGCAGGCTTCCAAGGAGGAAACATCGTACCAGAGTGTCCGCGTGCGCCCGGAAGCGCCCCCCCTGGAAAGACCAGCACCACCTGGGCCCCTCGCGGCGCTTCTGGCGCAGGTCCTGGCGCGCTGCGCGCGCCAGGGAGGGTGGTGCAGCAACGATCCGAGAAATCCGCGCGGACCTTTGAAAGTTGAGTTAAGTCGGGCATGTCCCTCTACAGGAGAACCATTCAAAAGTAGTTACCAAAAAATAGTCAGGGGACGATGTTTCCATCTTTTCTTTACATGTTTTGTTTATTTTTGCTGCTTCGCCCAAAATCAGCCTGTAGGAGGACACGCCCGACCTACAAGTTGATGTTCATGCCGCTGGTCGTTCCTCGGGCAGCTTCCAGCTCAAGTCCTGCACGGCGCAGTCTGCGCCTGCACGCCCTCCCCTCGCCGCGGAGACAAAAGCACGTGCTGGGGCCGTGCCAAACTCTCCACGCAGGGCTCTGGCCGTTCCCTCGGTGTCCGAGGGCCTCCGCCCTGTCCCGTTGGACCGTCAAACAACGACTCGGGATGAAGCACCGGTCCTGGGGAAAGGGTCGGGACTTCTGGGTGGCCCGTTTTGAGCAAATGGAGACCCCGAGATCCTGGCGTTGCAATTGTTTCGCAACAAAGGTTTTAGCTCAACTTCGGGCCCCGGGACCCTCACAGATCGATCTGGCTCGAAATGACGCAGAAAGATGCGGTCCGGGGCTCTGGGCGTGACGTTTTGCGATGTCTTTGCTGCTGTTTGCCACGTCGGATCTAAGGGGACTCTGCATGTATGGGAGGGATCGTCCCTTCTTCCTCTCGGCCGTCCCCCCCCCTTCTATGCGCGCCGGCCAAGTCGCCATTTGGTGCCCCTTCCTAGCTTCTCGCCGGAGCGGAGTTCGCCGCCCCGCCGCTGCCGAGAGAATGTCTGGGCAGGGATCCAAAAGTTCGAGGCTGGAGGGTTCTGGGCGTGTGAGGCGTCTCTGGGAGGCCTCCCTGGGGGCGCCCTGGTCGCCGCCTCCTCCTCCTCCTCCTCCTCCTCCTCCTCCTCCTCCTCCTCCTCCTCCTCTCCCCCCTCCTCCGACTACTCCTCCTCCTCCTCCTCCACCTCCTCCTCCCCCTCCTCCTCGAGGAGGAGTTCGAGGTTGGAGGGCTCCTGGGCGTGTGAGGCGTCTCCGAGAGGGCCTCTCTGGGGGCGCCCTCTGGAGGCCGTCGCTGGCGGCCGGGCCCGCTGGCCAGGGCGCGCCCGTGGACAGGCCCAGGGGTCGACGGCTGGCCCCCCAAAGAGTCCAGATCGCCAAGAGGAGAACGCCTCCTCCTCCTCCTCCTCCTCCTCCTCTCCTCCTCCTCCCTCCTCCTCCTCCTCCGCCTCCTCCTCCTCCTCCTCCTCCTCCTCCTCCTCCCTCCTCTCGTCCTCCTCCTCCCTCCTCCTCCTCCTCCTCCTCCCTCCTCCTCCTCCTCCTCCTCCTCCTCCTCCCTCCCTCCTCCTCCTCCTCCTCCTCCTCCTCCTCCTCCTCCTCCTCCTCTCCTGCTCCTCCTCCTCCTCCTCCTCCTCCTTCTCCTCCTCCTCCTCCTCCTCCTCGCTCCTCCTCCTCCTCCTCCTTCCTCCATCCTCCTCCTCCTCCTCCCTCCCCTCCTCTCCCTCCCTCCCTCCTCTTCTCCTCCTCCTCCAGTCCTCCTTCCTCCTCCCTCCTCCTTCTCCTCCCTCCTCTCCTCCTCCTCTCCTCCTCCTCCTCCCCTTTCTCCTCCTCCTCCTCCCTCCTCCTCCTCCTCCTGCCTCCTCCCTCCCTCCTTGCTCCTCCTCCTCTATTTCCTCCTTCTTCTCCTCCTCCTCCTTCTGGAGGTCGGGGGAGGGCCCCAGGGGCTTCCCCCACCGCTCTCGGCCTTCTCTGGGTCCCTTCTCTGGGCCCCCGGGACCGTCCGGAAGCTGCTCGGAACGGAGGGCTGGCCCTCGGGCAGAAGGCCCCCCCTGGGTCCAGGATCCGCCCCCCTTCCGGTCAGAAGCTGTTCCCCTGAATTAGCATGTCGCACCGCCGGCTCTGGCCCACCACCGTTCGACGCGACACGCCAACCACGTCCCAGGCCCCAAGCATCTGCGTCCCCAGTTGTTTCCCAGCACCACCACCCCCACGAAGAGGAGAGCGGCCCGCGATCGGCTTGCAGGGCGTAGCGTGTCGCAGGGGTCGCCTCCGCAACGCGCCAAACCCAATTTTGCGGGCAAGAATTATATCCATATCCAGTGCATCTTAGACTTTTTTGTGAGGGGCGCCACAAGGCCGAGGCGCGCTGGATGGGGATAAACATCGAGCCTCCAGGGGGCAAATTTATCCGTATCGGGTGCACATGTTTTTTTCAATTTAAGTTCCCCCCTCGGTGCTCGCACCCTGTTTTTTAATCAGCGGAAGTCTTCCTACTCAAATTGCGTTGTTGGTCCCCAGGCAACAACAACGGCTCCCACTTAATATTTCTTCACTGTATTCTACTTCTACAGTCACTCTCTCGCGCGGGACGCCCTCACAATACTTACAAGAATCACGCTCTCGCGTCTGACTTCCTCGTACATGAGTCCGACGCCGCGCCCTCGACACTTAGGATTCACGCTCTCGCTCTAGCTTTCTCACGATTTACTTGGGAAGCGCGCTATCGTTCGAGGTCTTTCTTCTCGCGATTCATGCAGGAGTCACGCTTCAGCAACCTGCCTGCTCGACCTGGCCGCCTTGGCCCACCTTCCCGACCCGCCCGCTAGGGTCTTCCCGCCCGATCTGTCCGTCTGGTTCTGCCACGGGTGTTCTGTTCCTGGCCCTCCTACTACTGATCTCTCTCCCGCTCCATCCCTCTCCATCCCCCTTTCATCCGTCCTCTCTTCCCCTGATGTCGGGGCTGCCCTAAATGCACGTGGCAGGTAAGGAAGATATGCCCCCCCCTAGTGGGGTACGATCGAAGTTGAAGAGGGCGGGTACCGAGGGGCTGGGGTGTACGTGTTCAATGGCCCGCGAGAAGATAGCGACCAGCCTGAGCCTGATGGATGTTGTCATTGCTGGTGTGGTTGGTGTTCTTGTTCCCGTTGTTGCCGTTGTTGCTGTTGTAGTTGTTGTTGTTGTTGCTGCTGCTGCTGTTGCTGTTGTTGTTGTTCTTGTTGTTGTTGTTGTTGTTGTTGTTGTTGCTGGTGTTGTTGGTGTTGTTGTTGTTACTGATGTGAGTGTTGTTGGTGTTGTTGTTGTTGTTCGTAAGGACGTTACCTGGAGGCCCCGGGGGGGGGAGGGAAACGGAAACGGGAAACGTGGGGCCCCTGCGGGGACCCGTTCGGGGCCCTTCGGGCCCTGACGGGGCCCCGCAGGGGCCCCACGTTTCCTGTTTCCCGTTCGGGTTCGGTGGGGCTCCCGGTGGGGCCAGAGCCACGATCCTCGAGAGGGGTGTGCCGACATGAAGCCTCGGTGGGGCTCCCCGTGGGGCCAGGGCCACGATCCTCGAGAGGGGTGGGCCGAAATGAAGGCTCGGTGGGGCTCCCTGTGGGGCCAGGGCCACGATCCTCGAGAGGGGTGTGCCGAAATGAGGCCTCGGTGGGGCTTCCTGTGGGGCGAGAGCCACGATCCTCGAGAGAGGGGTGTGCCGAAATGAAGCCTCGGTTGGGCTCCCTGTGGGGCCAGGGCCACGATCCTCGAGAGAGGGATGCCTCGGTGGAGTTCCTTGTGGGGCCAGGGCCACGATCTTCGAGAGAGGTGTGCCGAAATGAAGGTTCGGTGGAGCTCCCTGTGGGGGCCAGGGCCAGAGCTCTCTACTACTACTACTACTACTACTACTACTACTACTACTACTACTACCACGACTACTACTACTACTACTACTACTACTACTACTACTACTACTGCTCCGACTACTACTACTACTACTACTACTACTACTACTACTACTACTACTACTACTACTACTACTACTACTACTACTACTACTTCCATTACTACTACTACTACTACTACTGCTGCTACTACTACTATTGCTACTACTACTGCTACTACTACTACTACTACTACTACTACTACTACTACTACTACCCGTACTACTACTATTTCTACCACCACCACTACTAGTACTTAACCCACCACTACTACTACTACTACTACTACTACTACTACTACTACTACTACTACTACTACCTGTCCGCCCTAGGGTTCCCTATGGATTCCGTAGGGTTCCCTATGGATGCCCTAGGGTTGCCTATGGATTCCCTAGGGTTCCCTATGGATACCCTAGGGTTCCCTATGGATTCCCCAGGGTTCCCTATGGATTCCGTAGGGTTCCCTATGGATGCCCTAGGGTTCCCTATGGATTCCCTAGGGTTCCCTATGGATTCCCCAGGGTTCCCTATAGATTCCTTAGGATTCCCTATGGTTTCCCTAGGGTTGCTGGAGCCTCGCTGGTGCTCCCTCGCGTTTGCGTGGCCGACGCCAGAGCGGAGGTGGAAGGGTCGGACTGGAATCCGTATTCCTAGGTTTATGAAGCCGGAGGGGTTTCCCATTTCCCGTTTTCCGTTTCCCGCCCCCCCCCCCATGGGGCCTCCAGCTAAGGTCCGTACAAGAGGGTAGGGACAGCAAGGTAAAATGGGGCCTCCAGGTAGCGTCCTTACCTTGTTGTTGCTGCTGGTGTTGTCGTTGGTGGTCTTGATGTTGTGTTCGTTGTGTTCGTTGTGGTCGTTGTTGTTTCTGCTGCGTTTCAAGATTATCCAACCATTGCGCACTTCACCTTTCAAGTCTAATTATGTGCGCCGCCGAGCTGTCCGCTCTGGGTGCACAAGCTGGTGGACGGCCCATACCTGAGCTCGAACACCTTTGCCTCGCCAGACCTTCCGCGTGAAGTCATAGATGCCGGCGGATCCCAACTAAGTGGTGCCTCCCATGCATGGATCGCTTCGGGCTGCCGAAGTCTCCAGGGCGCCCGCAGCAGCGTGGAGAGGAGGCGCGGAGTGCACGAGCGCCTGCATGGCAGCTCTGTCAGGTGAGCCGCTTGATTATCATGTCGATGTCTGCTGTGGCAGCTGTGGAGCTGCCACGCTGCCGCCACTGCAAAACAGCGACCCTGCCTGGAGCGGTGACGGTCGGCTGGCCGCGCCCCCTCGACCGTCCGCAGGCCCACCAGCTGGCCGCAACAGCTGCAACAGCCAAAGCACGACGCCTATCGACCCCCCGGGCCCGAGGCGCACAAGGGCCCGGCCAGGCTCTCCCTCGGCGCAGGTCGTGCGCCCTTCTGTCGGTCTGCCTCTTCGCCTGCCCCCCCCCCCCCCTCCTCCTCCTCCTCCTCCTCCTCCTCCTCCTCCTCCTCCTCCTCCTCCTCCTCCTCCTCCTCCTCCTCCTCCTCCTCTTCCACCTCCTCCTCCTCCTCCTCCTCCTCCTCCTCCTCCTCCGCCGGCCAGGCTCTCCCTTGGCGCAGGTCGTGCGCCTGGAGGCTGGCGCGCGTGCGCGCACTCGTGCCCGCCCACGTGCCGCGAGGCCACCCCCGAGGCCTGCTTTGGACACGTCTGCGCGGACAAGCTTTGATGTGACCACCTGTGCAAGAAAGGTGCACCAGCGATCCACTATTGGGACGCTGGTGCGGTAGCGGAGGAGACGAGCACCGCAGTGGCTCGCCCCAAGAGGACTGCAATCCGCTGCCGCCAATCGCGGAGCGGCGACCGTGCACAACCCGTGCCACGGAGATGGCTCTGGTGCCGAGGCCTGCTGCTGCTGCTGCTGCCCTCCCCGCGCCGCGGAGAGGTCTCCTTCGGGGAGGGCCCGCCGGCGGAGGCGGAGCTCGGCGCGGCGCCCTCGGCCGCCCTGGAGCGCGCCAGGCCCCGCTCCTGGCCCCCCATCTTCCCCTCCTCCTCCTCCTCCTCCTCCTCCTCTCCTCCTCCTCCTCTCCTCCTCCTCCTCCTACACCTCGACCTTCTCCTCCTCCTCCTCCTCCTCCTCCTCCTCCTCCTCCTCCTCCTCCTCCTCCTCCTCCTCCTCCTCCTCCTCCTCTTCCTCCCCCTCCTCCTCCTCCTCCTTCTCATCCTCCTTCTCCTCCTCCTCCTTCCGCTGGGCACGGGGAACTTCCGCTCGGCGCGTGCTTTCGCGCGGAGGGGCGGGGGGAAGCATACGACGGGCGTGATTCAGGAGGGGGAAAACACACACAGACACAATGAATCGTCGATCCCCAGGAAAATCTGGGAGAATATGGGAAGTGGTGGGGAAGACAGAAACCCAGAACAGATGGGAAACTGTGGGGGATATTTTTATTTGTGTGTATTTATGTGTGTGTCCTGGGCCCCCTTCGGTCAGTGGTGGGGTGAGCGGGGGCCTCTTAGGGCCACGCGACGGGGGAGGGGTGACAGGTCGGGAGGCGGAAGAGACGACGGCGAGGTGTGGGGCTCAGGCGCGAGGTCGAACATCGAGTCGCAGTCAGCCCCGAGGGGCAATCGGCCCCTCCCCCCCGCCTGTCGGAGGAGATTGGAACGCTTCTGGCACAGGAGCCTGTGCGGAAGCGATGTCCCCCGCGGAGCCCCGCGAATTACCATCCTCTGGGCGTTCCCTACGGAGGTGCAGGAGGAGGAGGAGGAAGAGGAGGAGGAGGAGGTTTTCGACTGGCTTCCAATGTATCCCTGGAGATTCCCTTAACGGGCGCTCAGAGCTGGGGATCTTACCCTAGATGGGTGGAGAGAGGGTTGCCTCAGTCTGCTTTGAACGCCGACTGAGTTTCCCACTGCTTCGCCAAGCAGGCGTCAGCTAGGCCAGGGTGTCCTGAGCTGGAGCCGGGTGTGCTGGGGCTTGTCTGACTTGAGACCTGTTGGGCGGAGCTGGGCCAGGCCCGAGGCGAGGCATGAGGACCAGAGGCTGAGATCGGAAGTGTGAAGCCCCGGGCCAAGCTGCAGGTCGGCCGCGTGTCGGCGGCGAGCCCGGGGGGGGATGTTCCGGGTTCGAGGTTCCTAGTTCTCGGACGTTTTCGTCGGTTCTCGGCGGCTTCCCAGACTCGGGAGGCGTTCCAGCGGTTGCGCCTCGCCGAGAGCCTTCTGGGAGCGCGGGGGTCGCCCCGAACGGCCGCCAGCGACCCGAGGTGTGACCCAAAAACCTCGGCGGCGAGGGAGGGGGGGGGAAGCGAGAAGGGGTGGCCCTCCCAGAAGACTCGGAAGTTCCCCGGCCGACCGAGAAGTTTTCTGAGCTCTCCCCCTGAAGACAGAGACAACTGTTCAGGGACGCGCGAGGACTCCTGAGAAGTCCCGCCGCCTTCTGAGGAGGCCTTCTCCTTCTCACTTCCCCTCCTCGCTCGCCGCCGAAAATGCATTTGGATCATAACTCGGGTCTCCGGCGGCCGTTCGGGGCGATCCCGGCATCCCCAGGACGTTCTCGCCGAGGCGTAGCCTCACCGAGCGGGTTCCACAATTCGCAAAGTGCCTACTCGCAAACGTCCGAAGAACACATGTCTGCTTCGATGTAACTTATCGTAGATCCCCCACGGCGGATCCAGGCCCCGGCACGTCCAACAAGAGATCTGTTTCATAATTGGTATACGCATGCATATGCACACCGAGAGATGTACAACCATACAAACGTATATACATACATACATACAGACAGAAATACCGACATACAAACATACATACATATTCACATCCATGCATGCATGCACGCACCACACGTGCATGCATACATACTTGCGTACATGCCAACAGACATGTGCATGAGCATGCATATATATGTGTTGACAAATACATCTACATACGCATAACCATATACATATACGTGCATCGGTTCTACACGTGTATATATATATACATTTGCATATACACATGAACAGACATACGCATTTCTATGATCATATATCTACATATGCATATACGATTGTACGGATGTATGCACGAGTATGCATCCACACACATCTACGTATGCACACTGATGCTAATACTTATATATGCGTGTACATATACATAGATCCATGCATACATACATTCATGCATACATACAGACATGCCGACGCTCGTACATGTAGAAATACATACATGCATGCGTGCATCCATACATACATGCCTATGTATACATACTCACATCGTATGTTCGATATGTTCATGTGATTCAAATGTTTATGTGCTGTCACAGGTGTATGCTCTAAATGTTTTCGCTGATGGCATAGATCCGTACCAGCAGCGGGAACCGATGATGTTGGTGTTACAACGTCATGTCCATGAATATGTTGCGATCCCAAGGAAGGCTCTCCCCCCCACCAGCCCTTTGATGGGGGGCTCACAGAAGCAGCCTCGGCGAGGCAGGAGCCCCAAGATGTTCCTCCGAGCAGGATGCTTTGGCGCCCGTGTCCGCTGCAGCCGAGTGCCGCTCGCGTCGCGAAGGGGGCCCCGCGCGGCCGCACGGCGGGCCTCGCCGGCCACCGCTTCTTTGCCGCGCGAGGAGGGCTAGGCACCGCTAGACGTCGAGGCCTCCAGCCGCTCCCGGGTTCTGCAATCGAAGAAGAATCGTCGCCATGAGCATCAGTTTTTGGCGCCCCGCGCGGAGCGCCCAACGTTTGTGCTTATGGCGTTGGTTCTTCTCCTGTGTGAGGCCGAGGCGCCGTGACGGCGCCTCGGCGGAAAGTCGCATGCTGCATGCGTACCAGAACACAGGCATAGAAGGATATATCAGGAGGGGAAAAAACACACAGACACAATTATTCGTCGATTTCCCAGAAAATATGGGAAAATATGGGAAGTGGTGGGGACGACAAAAACACAGAAAATATATGAAAATATGGGGAATATTTTTATTTGTGTGTATTTATTTGTGTGTCCCAGTTTCCCTTCAATATAGTGTGCGTGCAGACGCCGAGCCAATGCAGCGCCCCGGGGAGGACATGTGGTCCAGGCGAGGGGCTCTCAAAAGGAGTGCGGGGACCGCACCGCGTGGTGAGTCCGTCGGTCTCTGGGGCCACCGCACGGTTTTGGGACCGCCGGCTCGATCTCCGGGGGCGGGGGAAGTCTGGGGCGACGGGGGGCCGTGCGGTGCCGCACCGCGCGGTGCATGGCCTCTCCCGGGGTTCTTCCGGGGAGACGTAAGACTCGAGTAAGCCGGGACTCGCTTTTGCCGTTTTTTTTTGACGAGCGCGTCCTCAATTTTGACGGTCCAGTGTTCGTGGGATGCTTGCAGCGGGAGTTCGCGTTTCAGATTGGGTCTCGTCATTTTCATGATGACCCCGTCAGGCCAACCCGAGTCCCCCGTACCCGAGTCTTACGTCTTCCCGATTCTTCGAGGTCGCCGCGCGGTCTGTCGCCACGCGGTGTCGGGGCCACTGGGTCTTGGAGGAAGCCTTGAGAGGCCGGGGCCTCCGAGGAAGAAACGTTGCCGATACTGCGACCCTTCTGTCGTCGATGTGTGCGTGCCCTCCAAGGCGATCTGCGCGGGCCCTCCAGGTCGGTTCGCCTTTGTGGGGCCTCCTTGGAGGCCCTCTTCGCCAGGATTCTCCCTCAACATCCAGGTCAGACCGCGTCCCAGGAGAGCTCCGTGGAGTAGCGGCGTGGTTCTCCCAGGGCCCGCTTCCACCAGCGCCCGTTCTCCCTACATCGCTGGAAAGATACAATAGCACTGTTGCGGGCGAAGGGTTAAGAATGATCGGGCGAGATCCGTGTGTCAGGAGGGGGAAAAACACACAGACACAATTAATCGTCGACTCCCAGGAAAATATGGGAACATATGGGAAGTGGGGGGGAAGACGAAAACCCAGTATATATGGAAAGGATGGGGAATCATGTTATTTGTGCGTGTGTGCATTTATTTGTGTGTCCTTGGGCCCATTGAGCGTAGTGTGAGTGGTGGATGTTCGGCGGGTGAGCGGCGAGTGGTGAGGTTCCGGGATGGGCGCCTGAGGCAAGGGTGAGAGGGTGAGGGTGTGAGGGTGTGTGCGTGTGTGTGTGGAGCAATTGATATTCCGATGTCCCTGAGATCCTGGCATTGCATTTTTTCACAAGGGGGGTTTTCGCTCAATTTCGAGCCCCGGGACCCTCACAGATGGATCCGGCTCGAAAAATGACACAGAAAGATGCGGTCCGGGGCTCTGGGCGTGATGTCTTGCGATGTTGCAATTATTTTGCAACGTCGGATCTCAGGGGTTCGCCTTGAGGCACTGTTGGTCAATGTCTCCACGGGCGTCGTCCATTGCAAAGCAGCGGCACCGATGGGCTTTGGGCAACAGTTGGTTTTGGGCATTGCGGTCATTTTGCCCGTGTGCATGTCGGGCGCCCCAGATAGAGCAACGGTCGATCTACTGTGAAATCCCGAGACACGAGCAACGCAACAACGTGACATTCCACGACCAGAGCCCCGTACCTCATCGCCCTGCTGCATTTTTCAGGCCCGTCCGAGCAGCGAGGGTCCTGGGACCCGAGATTCTGCGCCCGCGCCCGACTCGACCAAAAGCGCGACGCCGGCATGTCATTGCTGGCTCCCCTCGGCCTGCAGCTCCGCACCCTCCGCGCAGGCGGTGCCGCCGCGATGCGGCAGCGCGGCATCTTCCGCACGGAAGCTTCGCCAGGTGCAGCTCGAGGGGCCTCCGATCATCCGCAGCCGCTCCTGGCTCCATCGGACCCTCGGGCCGCCGCGAGCGCGCGGCGCGGCGCGCGCGGCGCGGCGAGCGCGGAGGGCCCGCCGAGGCCGCGGCGGCTCGAGCCGGCCCGAAGCAGGGAGGGCGGTCAAGCGCCGATCGGATTTGCGAGTTTTGATGTGTACAGTCGACCCGCAGAGTAAGGATATGCATCCCTCCCAGGGGTGCCCTTGCATCCTTGCTTCCTGGGTCCATCCTTGGACACTTTTTCTGGCCGCGCCCCGCTCG